GGTAGGGGATCGGCATGCTTACTGGGTGAGGAACAGGCACCCTTCTCTCCGTTAGTGTGACTCCCTTTCACTTGACTCCGGATGTGTTCCTTTGGGTCCAGCCCTTTAAAATTAGTTACACTACACATCTGTCTCTGTGTTCTCCGCTCTCATAGTGCCATCTCCCAGGAAGGGAGAGGCACCTTGGGTTGTAGTGAAAAATATGTCCTTATAAATATGTGTGAAGAGGATGAGGACCTTCTGGCTGCGCATTTTCTGGTGGGAGAGCTGGCCCATTTCTCCTCTCCGTGGGCACTGACCCCAGGCCGGACCGGGAAAGACAGTGTTATTCCAACTCTGCCCTTTAGCATTTTCTATGATAACTTGTTCCTTTACCTGCCAAGTGGGTGGATAGCATAGGTCTTAGGCACCAATAAAGGAGCAGGGTATTCTTTCTTCCAGGGGCTTACAGTCTGTACAGAGGTTTTTTTTAATTAAAAAAATTTTTTTTTCGAATAATTGATATGTTCACATGGTTTTAATGTTAAAAGGTCAGGAGAGAAAAAGTGAAAAGTCTCCAGCCCCTGGCCTCCCAGCCATCTAGTCCCACCCCCGAGGCAACCACTGTTTATAGATTTTGTGTCTCTTTCTAAAGACATTCTGTGCATTTGTTCGCTGGTTTAGAGGACCTAGAAGACATGGAGGGAATCGGGAAAACTGAGGAAGAATTTTCTAAGGGCCAATGGCTGCAGCAATCAGGAGATGGAGTCAGGGAGAACAGGCATATAGAGATATTCTAAAAAAAATTTCCAGGAGGACTTAGATATAAAACCTCCTTCCAGCCCTCAGCCGCGGTCTAGCTAGGCGAGCAAAATATTGACATGTCGAAATGGACACAGCAGTCCAAGAGCTAACTAGAGATGAAGGTCAGATTCCCAGTATAGCCACAGGATGCCCTCTCCCGGAGGAGGACGGCAGGTGCCGGTTGCCTGGCTGGGCGGGGCTTTGTGGAGGAGCAACCTGGGTCTCTTAGCTGTGTGACTTTAGTTACTATGGTCAACCTCTCTGGGACTCCTTGTTTCTCATCTATGAAACCCCTAATCTAGGCTTTTAAACATTTTTGTTACTTGAGCCCGTTTAGCCTGAAGAAACCGTGGACGTCCTTTAAATGCACATGATGAATTATATAGGATTGTAAATGTTATTTAATTACATCGAATTATGGCTTTTTCCCCCCACCTGGTGGACCCTGGGGAGTCCCATCACACAGTGATTCCTGCTCTGAGGAGGGAAAGAACCAGGATCCGGCTCCCATGAGCTGTTTCCGATCCTGTCACTGATTGGGGTCATGTGATGGTAGCCAGGGGGAGGAGCCTGGGGAAGGATTCCCTCTAGAGATTGCTTTGCAAAGGGTCAAAGGAGCACCCAAATCCGCTGATGATTATCTTACCCTCTGTCTACACCAGGTCTCTCCAGCCCTCTCCTAAGATCAGTAGCTTTGACCAGCTTTCAGTGTCCAAAAGGTGGCAGCACTGTCCCAGGAAACAGTCCCGGCCGCCTGGGTGAGCGTGCTGCCCGTGGTGGCTGCCTGCCTGCCCTTGCAGCTTAAGAGAGCATTTCTAGTCAGCTTGATGAGTTGTAGCCATGTTACTTGCTCCTCTCCAGGCACCAAAATGTTAGCCTCGGAGATGGGCCATGTCCCTGGTCAAGCTTCTGTCCCCCACCCCATGGTGGGGCCACCCCGCCGGGGCCATGCTTTGGGCATCAAAGCCTCGCATGTGCTAGGTGGGCCCTGGCAGCATGTCAGGACTATCCCACCACGAGATGCAGAAGAAAGTCACGTTCCTGCAACTGACATTTTCCTTCCTTCTTCTGGTGTTTGGGGTGGGGTAGGGTGACGTGGGGATTTTGGAGAGAGGTAGGCATCTTAGGCAATGGAGTCTTGGGTGATCTAGGCTGAGTTTTTCTTTCCAAACAATTTAACATTGGCTAAGACAGCATGGAGCGTTTTAGTGGGTCTGTTTAAGGCACACAGCAGAATTGCTTCAGACTCCTCAAGGCGGCCTTCCGCCCTTCCTCTGCAGTTAGTTCTGGGGCTGTAGACAGGGAGTCGCTGCCTCGCGTGTGGGGACGAGCCAAAGCCTGAACTGTATGTAACAGAGGGAGTCGATTTTCAAGACCGTGGACGATGGAACTGTGCGGGGCAGACGGAGGGGCACGTGGGAGCGGATCGAGTCAGACGCGGTTCTCGCTGGTGGGCACGCGGGTGCTCACCTTCAAAGCCCGGGCCTCTAGGAGCAAACAGTCTCTTAGGAAGAGGCTTCCATCTCCGTTTCGGTCTTTCAAACACACTGCCAGCCTTCCATTTCCTCCCCCTTCCATATGCTCTCTCTCTCTCGCACCCAGATGCATGTAGACTCACACATTTACACATTCATTAAGGCACATGGAAAAGAAGAAAAAACCCACATGTTTCATTTAACCGTTTATTCCGAATATATATATCAAGTCTTTGCTGTATATGCAGTAGACACTGTCCTGAGCGAATAGTCAGGCTGGGCATAGCCTGACTTTCATGGCGTTTATAGTCTAGAGCAGTGGTCTCCAGTTTCTTGTGACACCAGGGTCTGGTGCTCCTATGAGAATCTGATGCCTGGTGATCTGAGGTGGGGCTGAGGCGGTGATGCTGGCGCTGGGGAGCGGCTGCACATGCGGATGAAGCTTCTCTAGCTTGCTTGCTGCTCACCTCCTGCTGTGCAGCCCGGTTCCTAACAGGCCACGGCTTGGTACCGGTTCACGCCGGGAGGTTGGGGTCCCCTGGTGTAGAGGGAGAAAACAAATCCTGAACAAATAAATGAATGGGCTAGACAAGTATCATCTGGAACTATGCTTTCCAGAGAAGAGGTCTTAGGGTGTGACACCATGACAGTGAGCAGGGAACGCCTGCTTCCCCAGGAGGTGACACGCATCAGTGAGATGGGCTTGTGCGGACATAGTTTTAAGGCTGTGGGGCCAGACATACACCTGGTGTGTTTAAGGCACAGAGAGAAAGCAGAAGGTGGGATTGAGTGGGGGGAAGAGGGCCAGATCACGAGGCCTCATAGCTTGGGGGAGGGGTTGAGATGCGATATAGCCATTGTGGGTTTCTAAGCAAGTGACATGAAAAAGTACCTCCAACCCAATTAAATAGCCCCTAATTCCCACTGAGTGCGCACGTTGTGGCTTTGTTTGGGGGGCCTCAGTAGAGGAACACAGGAAGGAGTCAGCTCGTGTTTGTGTGGCACCTGACATTGTGCTCACCACATGTTACCTCCTCCCTGTGACAATCCCACAGGGAAAGTGTCCTTCCTATCAGTGTATCCGTGAGAGAACCAAGGTGCAGAGGGGGAGTAGGTCACTCAAGGTCACCCAACCAGAGGGCCAGAGCTGGGGCTGAACCCCCGCTGGGCAGGCTTTAAGCCCCGCTTTGTATGGCTTCCTGCGAGTGGAGTCCTGGGAGGCTTTTTTGTTGTTGTTGATGTTGTCATTTTATTTTTATTAAGGATTTAATATGTGTGAAACATTGTTGTCATTTGCATTTCTCTGACCACCGCTGAGATGGAACAGTTTTTCATGTTTTTACTTTTTTTTTTATTGCGATAAAATATATAGGACATAAAATTTGTCATTTTAACCATTTTTAAGTGTCATTAAGTACAATCACACTGTCGTGCAGCCAACACCACTCTCCCTTTCTAGGACTTTATTACCTCGAACAGCAAGGACTCCCATTCCTCCTCCCCCACTCCTGGTCACTTCGAATCTACTTTGTGTCACCATGAATTTGCCTAGTCTAGATATTTCATATAAGTAGAATCATCCCATATCTGCCCTTTGGGGTATGGCTTACTGCACTCAGCATAAAGTCTTCACAGTTCATTCATGTTGTGTGGCATGTGTCAGAATTTTATTCCTTTTATGGTTGAACAATATCCCCTTGAATGCGTGTACCACATTTTGTCTATCCATTCATCTGTTGATGGGCACATGTGGTTTCCACTTTAGGCAGTTTTTTTACACAGAGACAGGACCTTTCCAGCTCTGGGGCTACTTTCTGAAGCCTGGAGGGTCTGTCTGCCCTGGGGGTCGGCGGGCAGGTTATGGATGGTGCAGAGCTTTTCAAGGTAACTAGCCTTGGACTGTTTAAAAGGCCCAGGATGAATACCGTAATTGTTTTCCTGCGGGCACCAACTCTAATTTGGTTCTCTTCCTGCCCACTTCATAAAGTCAGAGCGTTGAACGAGCTTTCCAGAGAGATTATTTCATCATTTGCTTCTAAGTGTGAAATTATCTCCTATAGATAGAAATTTAGCTTTTTGAGATTCCCCAGAGGAACTGCGTGGGAGCCCCAAGTCTCCGCCAGGTGACCCAGGGCAGGCCACGTCTAACTGGCCTCAGTGTCTCCATCTGTAAAATGATGTAAAAACCCTTCTGAGAGGTCGTACATCCTTCCAGCTCAGACAGGTTAAGATTTTCCTTTTTAATTCAAATCCAGTTTCTTCACCGCCGCTTGTACTTGAAGCCTGTTCCTCTCTCCTTTGTGAGAAGCAATTGGTCAG